TTTAATATCTTGATGGAATCGTTCTCCTTGTTCGTCGCTAAAATCACCGCAGTTTTTCGGGAACTCATCTGAATGGTTATGCAAGAAATGCAGTTTGTAAGACATATTACATTTCATTTCACCGAAATTGTTTATCATTGTTGATATTAAAACTTTGTAATCATCGCTTCTGCGATTACCTAGAAAATTTTCCACAACATTTTTGAAGCTATGCCATGCAGCTTTCTGAACCTCAGTCATCTTAGTTGGAAAATTGTCATCTTTCAGCATTTTTCTTATTTCTGGTCCATCGAATATTCCTTCTTTTAATTTGGCATCAGATTTATAGGAAAATTTAGATTCTAAATATTTGTAACATTCATCGCTCTCGCTCAAAGCTTTTACAAATTGTTTCATAATGCCCAATTTAATATGTAAAGGAGGTAGTAAAACTTTTTTAGGGTCTACTAATGGACTGTTAATAACATTATGATGTCCAGCTTCTAAAGAATTTCTCTCAGTCCACTTATGGTCGGTGTAATGGTTTTTACGATCTCTGCTATCCCACAAGCACTTGAAACATGGGTACTTTGTAAATCCAGATTGCTGTCCCATCAGCATACGAAAAACTGTGGTGATTTTAGCAACGAGCAGGGAGAACGATTCCATCATGACATCAAACATATGGAGCAGCGATATCAAGGTAGATTGGATGTGGCAATGATGGCTGATTACTGCTGGATGTTGAAGAGAAAGAGAGTGAACATAAAGGACTAAACGCAGACGGCAACCTTTAGGCCGATCGTTTGAAGAAAAAAAGGGGCGTTACAAATGAAAAAAGTAAAAAGGCATACGAAATTAACAATATTTCATCAAGTTTTGCCCTCTTTTCATTAACTTAACCTTGAAATGACATTGATCTTAACTTTTTACAGGTTACTCAATCGAAAAGCTGAATTACTTAGCTCAAAAAACCTATACACAATCTTTTTTCGATACTTCGTCGTTTTCAATAGATTTAATCTTGAAATAAGCTTAAAATTAGTCAGTATAGTGGAAATGAACTTTGATTCAAATTCACCGACCCTTGAAACATAAAAAATAGGTTTTTCGGACTTTTATATCGAATTTATTATGTTTGACCTTCAAATGACCTCGAAAGTGAGGTCTGAGAGGTCATCTGACTTTAAATTTGAATTCAGCATCCTTAAAAACCCATATAGGAGTTTTTTTCCAATTTTTTAACCTGTTTTTTATGATTTGACCTTCAAATGACCTCTAAATGACCTTTAGATGTCAACATTGAGTCANGTTTCACATGTCAAAAAAATAATAATGTTAAGTACAGCAATCATTATGCAATGATATAAGAAAAAATAAATTATTTGTCGACTTAAGCGTAATAAAAATGAACCGCCAGCCGTTTGAGACTGCACTACTATGCAAATTACATGTGATTAACTTCATAATTAATTATAAACGGAATACAAACTAATCATTTTTAATTTTAGGCGCACGTAACAATTTAAATCACTCGGTCGCAATCGGCAATAGGCACAATTTATGAATTGGTCGTTTTATTACATTGTTTGCCGTTTTTATAATTGCTACGCGCACTAAACCGTCATCGCCTTGATATGTACGTTGGATGATCCCCATGGGCCAATGAGTAGGAGGTGAATTATCTTCGGAGATGAGGACCATCGAACCGACGTGTAGATCATCGTGTTGTACTCGCCATTTGTTGCGTTGTTGCAGCGTGTGAAGGTACTCGAAGCGCCAACGATGCCAAAATTGATCGCGCATTTGCGTCAGTAAATTCCATCGTGCAGCAGGTGTAAGTTTGACGTTTTCGAGGCCCGGCTCAGGAACAGCAAGCAGCGGACCGCCGATCAGGATGTGACCAGGGGTAATTGGCGTTGGATCCGTGGCAGAACTACTCAATTGGTAGAGTGGCCTTGAGTTTAGGCAAGCTTCTATCTGACAGAGCACAGTGCTGAGCTCCTCAAAAGTCAAGGTTGAGTCCTTGATCACGCGCCGTAGATGGTGTTTCACCGAGCGAACTCCTGCCTCCCATATCCCGCCGAAATGGGGTGCTCGAGGCGGTATGAACGTCCAGTCCGTCCCGTGGTTGGCTAAACGAGCAGCACTTTTTTGATAGAATTCTGAAGCTTGTCGAAACATCGATTTTAGTTCCTTATCGGCTCCTCTGAAGGTCGTTCCATTGTCGGATATCAAGGTATGGCAGATGCCTCGTCGAGACACAAAACGTTTATAAGCTGCCACAAATGCCACTGCTGTCAAATCCGAAACTGCTTCCAGATGAATGGCTTTCGAGGACATGCAGACGAACAGGCATATATATCCTTTATACGATGAATGACCGCGTCCTTTTGAAGCTCGGATAGCAATAGGGCCACAATAGCATAATCCACGCCTGCGGCAAGAAACGGTCTCACTGGGGTCAACCTTATTGGCGGAAGGTCACCCATAATTTGGCCAAGTTTTGCCCCAGCGTAGCGAGTACAAACGATGCAATTATGGATTTCTCGATGGACGAGCGTTTTACAGCGCAAAATCCAAAATCGCGCTGCTACGAAGTTGCGTGTTGTTTGCGGCCCTGCATGCAGAGTTCGATGATGAGCGTCTCGGACGAGCAAAGTAGACAAGTGGCTTTCATACGGCAGAATGATGGGATGCTTTTCATCGTAGGATAATGACGGAGCATTCACCAATCTCCCACCGACGCGTAATAATCCCTTCTCGTCCACCATAGGTTTTAATGAACGTAGCGGTGATTTCTTAGGCAGTTGTAACTTGCGTTTCACATGGTCAAACTCCACTTGCAGGTAGGTCCGTTGAACTTTTTTGATAAGCGTTTCTGTCGCGTATCGAAGCTCCTCTGCAGTTAAAAAACTAGTACGCTTCATTTTCTTATTCTTGCAATTATGAATGAAGCGCTGAATCCAGGCTGTAACTCGTGTTAAACGAGTATATGAAGAGTATCTTTCAATTAGATCGTCTGAATTGACAAGTCGAGCAGTGGCACATACTGTTTTTCTTTTCATCTCGGAGAAAGCTTCTTCAGAGCTTGCAGCTGCACCATTGAAAGTTGGCAAGGCTACCTCATGTAACCACGAGGGGCCTCTCCACCATAATTCCGCTTCTCTGAGTTGATTGGTTGAGATCCCTCGTGTGGCCAAATCGGCCGGATTTTGACTCGATTTCACGTACCGCCAATGTTTTGGCGACAAAATTTCTTGAATTTGCTCGACTCGATTTGCGACAAACGGGCTCCAGCGAGAGGCATGAGAGTACAGCCAAGTGAGAGTAACCTGCGAGTCGCACCAAGCGTACGTGGCATCGATTGGAGTGTTGAGTTCGCTCTGCAAGCTCGCTACTAATTTGGCCAGTAGTGCCGCTCCGCAAAGCTCCAATCGTGGTATGCCTAGCGTCTTCACAGGAGCGACCTTTGTCTTGGCTACTAGTAAGTGCACAGTTACTGTATTATCGGGCATGATTACCTTGGCATATACAGCAGCAGCATACGCTCGTTCTGAGGCGTCGCAAAATGCGTGAAGCTCAAGTCTTCCTCCGGAGCTTTGGCCAATCCATCTTGGTACTCGAATTGACTCCAAACCAGGCAACATGGCGCGAAAGCTCAGCCAAGCTTCCTCGAGTTTTGGGGGAAAACGTTGATCCCAATCGAGTCCTTGTATCCAGGTATCCTGTATCATAATCTTGGCAGTTACAATGACCGGCGCAAACCAACCCATTGGATCGAACAACTTTGCGATCTCAGAGAGTACTGTGCGTTTCGTGATAGTTGAATTTTGATCAGCGAGAGTCACCTTTAATGCAAATGAGTCTTCATGCGGATACCAACGTAGTCCTAGAGTTGAAATTGAGTCATTGATCTTCAACGGCTTTTCCTCTTCTGACAGAGTAGGACATACTTGAGAATTATTCGAAGCCCACTTGCTTAATTCGAAACCACCAGCGGCGAGCATCTTCGTCAGCGATTCTCTCTTTGCAATAGCTTCCTTTTCGGTATCGGCGCCTCCGTAGAAGTCGTCCATATATGATGATCGGAGAGCTATCTCGGCCCCCTCAGGAAATCGACCGATTTCTTCCTTTGCCAGCTGCTGAATAACTCGCAAGGCTAAATAAGGAGCTGGTGCTGTTCCATACGTGACGGTGGTCAACTCGTAAGAACGGAGTTTCTCGTCGGGGGAATCTCGCCAAAAGATGCGCTGCCAAGTATAATCAGCTGGATTGATTTTAATCTGGCGAAACATTTTGATAATGTCCGCAGTAAATGCCACTCGAAATTGCCGCCAGGAAGTCAAGATCATCCATAAGTCCTTTTGTAACTTTGGACCCGTCATCAAGCAATCGTTCAACGAATTTCCGTTCTTAACTTTAAACGAGGCGTTAAATACGACGCGTATCTTTGGCGTAGAGTCGACATTCTTGAATATACAATGATGAGGTATATAATTTCCTTCGGTGTCGGAACGAGAAGGACGCATGTGTTGCAGATTTAAATATTCTTGCATAAAATCGTCATACATTCCTTTAATTTTAGGCGACTTCAGAGTTCTGGCTTCGTTGACGTGGTACAACTTCATGACCATTGAACGGTTCTCTGACAGACTCTGCTTTAGCTGATCACTTTTGAAAGGTAGCGATACAACGAATCGGCCTGTTGCATCTCGATAATGCGTCTCCTTGAAGTGCTGTTCGCATTTGCTGTCCTCCTCTGAGAGCACTGGCGAACTTAACTGATGCTCGATCTCCCAAAAGGTCTGCAATTCGCACGACGCGCACGTGTGACGAGTATCTTCTTGCTGAGGCAATGTTGAGCAGAATACTTGGTGATTTACTGGCTTGATGGTCGATACATCGTCGGTGTTTGTCTTCCAAAAGCTGTCCAGGACAAAATTCGGACAGGTGTGCAAGCCTTTCACTTGAATTTTCTGCGCTGATGCAGTTGACGCCGATTGACTAGTTTTGCCCATTTAAACCCAGCCGAACCATGAGAGTTTGGCAACTGGTTCATCTATTGATCCTGATCGAGTTTGATCCAGCAGCAAAAAGCCTGTAACATCTGCACCAAACATAACATCAATCGGGCCTGGCTTACCATAGTCAGGATCAGCTAAATTTAGTCCAGCTAGATGGCTCCAAGTAGATGCGGGCTTGACAGGTGCTGAAGGAATATCAGAAGTTATTCTGTCAAGTACCAGTGCTGTGAAGTTGAGATTCCTGCTTGAGTCCTCTATAGTTGACACTTGCAGCTCTGATTGTATATGCGCCTGTCCCACTGAGATGGCTCGTATCCCAGAGACTGAAGCATTCACTCTTGACCGCCGCAACTGCAATCTCTTTGCCACCTTTTCTGTGATGAAGGACGACTCCGAAGCTGAATCAAGTAGCGCTCGCACCACTACACTGTATCCTTGAGGTGAGACAAGTCGTACTCGTGCAGTTGTAAGCAGAACACAGCTGCTGGGCTTGACAGGTAAACACACTGCATTGTATGAGTGTAAAACATTTTGCATGTCCTCTGAATCTGAGGTACTGTCGGTTTGAGTGACGTTGCAGGATACTTCCTTCTTTTGATGATTACTGTCGCTTTTACAGAGAGCGTCATGTAACAGTATGGTATGTTTACCTTCACACTCTTTACAGCGATAAGACGACTTGCAGTTGTTGGCTCTGTGTCCTGGCATCATACACAGTATACAAAGTTTATTCAAATTGATGTACTCCAACCTTCGTTGAGGACTCAAAGCTTTGAACGTTGGGCATCTTTGGAGCTTGTGAGACCCATTGGAGCAGGGGCAAGCCTTACTTGGATTTCTTGTTGTAGTAGATAACGTTGAGATCTTTTGACCTTCTTGGCTGCCTGCTCTTGTTACCTTTTGTTTGCTGAACGACTTGGACTGGCTCGATGGCAATTGAGTCGGTGAGGTGGCTTCTAATGCATGAATCCTATTCTCCAAATAATCAACAATTTCCTTGAACTTTGGCATGGCAGTTGTATCCTTCAGTGAAGTCTCCCAAGCAAGTCGAGTATAGCGATCCAATTTTTCTGAGAGCAGGTAGACCAGTCAATCATCCCACTGATCCACAGGTTTTTTTAATCCTTGAAAAGCTCTCTTAATTTGACGAAAACTGTCTAATAAAGTTCTGAGCTCTGCGGCCGCAGATTTCTTCATTGGCGGCAATGCAAATAATCTTTTCATGCATGCAGTAGACAAGATCCTTTTGTTGGCGAATCGCGCTGTCAAATCGTCCCATGCTCCTGCATATGCCTCTGCCGTGACTGTGTAATTAGCGATGACTTCGGCTGCTTCGCCTGACAAGCAAGACTTCAAGTACAAGAACTTTTGGACTGGTGATAAACCGCTGATATCGTGAACGAGTGCCTTGAATTGATCACTGAAGCCTTCCTAAAGGATTGGATCTCCATTGAATGTTGGCAGTTCAATTCTTGGCAGCTGAATCCTTTGAACAATATCTTCAGAAGTCTTAGGCGTCGGGGTTGCCTTAGCAGGTGGAGGTTGCGCCACTGGTGGTACCTTGTTGTCGATGTACATCAATGTATCGATGTACGCATCCTCAGTAACCTCGTATACTCCCTCTGTAAAATATTCATTCTTTTTAAGATCTTCCTTTGCTACCAGTATGAAATGATTCGCCTTGAACTCCTTCCACAATTCCTCAGCTTGTTCTCGTTTTTTTCGATAAATGTTCACGAGCTGTCGCTCCTTTGGTGCCTTTCTCAAATTGGCCTCGATTTTGGGTATGAGCTTGGCAATCTCCAGCTGCTGGGCAAGCAAGAATTTTGTAGCCTCATCCATGCTTAACCTCAAATTGTCGTTTGATATGTATGCGGAACAGGCAGCGATCGATGCGCCCAGCACCGCGTATACTGTAACGACGACGACCCGCGTGCAGCTAGGCCCTCTAGCGGAAAAGTTGCAAACTTGCGCCTGCTGGTAGATACACAGCGGTGCGCGTACACTGGCAATAACAACAAACGCACGAAGGTCACAACGGCGATGCGTAACTACGCAGTTGCTGAATGTGTTGTGCCTTGCGTTGACGAACGATGCTTAATGGCGTCGAATCTCGTCCAAATGCGCAAAATGGCCAAACCGCCCTCGTTGGACTGGATAACGAGCGACGTGACGATTGAGCTCCGACTTTTTTTCGCCTTAATTTGCACTTCGTCGGTTCTTGACCAGTTCACAATTTTACACAGTTTTTTTTATTAATATAGATCAGTTACTTGTACTTTTGCACTGACACCGACCAGAGTATTCCGAATCGGACGATCCGGCTCCGAAGGACCAAATGTTTGCTTTTACACGTCGCGAGGATGTCGACGAACGAGTATGGGCAAGAGTTTCAAATAAATAAACACTCACAAGGTTTAACAAAATATACTTTGGGTTTATTATATAACAAAATGAAATGGTGGTGTAGTAGACAAAACAGTTCGGAGCGGAGGCCAGACTCTCGCGCTTCCGTGCTCTATATCAAACTGAGCCTCGCGAGCCGGGCCGTGAGCGTTGCCCCCTCCTTGCGGACCCCCCACGTGAGCGACTCGCTAGCCCACTTAGATGCTGACATCTAACATAGTGCTTGTGTGAGTGCTGCGTGTTTACGGTGGCGCGCCGCGTCGGTGCATGTGTGTGTGCTGCCCGCCGCTGTGTTTGTGCAGCTGTAGCAAGCTATTTTATATCGTGTGTCGGTGCCAAGTGCCACAGTACAGTGTTTTCCCGCGCTCGGTCCCATCCGTGTGTGCCGCGCGCGTTAGTGTGAGTACGAGCTTCGCGCTGCCGTACCGCTGCTCTGCGCTGCCGTGTAGACTCGCGTCGAATCGGTAGCAATGAGCGACGGGCTGCGTGGGCCGCAGGCGCCTAAATCGGCGCGTGATGACGGAACGACGAGCCGATCGAAGAACGTTCCACTGGTGCCGTTATCGTCGAAGATCAGGTCCTCGCCATCGATGACGGCGGCGGCCACTACGAAGAAAATCCTTGGCGCCCCTCTGGTGACAACCAAGGATGCTCCGCTCCCGACCATCGCAGACTTTGCGACCGGGAACTGTGAAGATAAGTGGGCACGTATTGAAGGTCTGGTAAGTGGTCTTGCCAGCTTCATCGAGCCCAAAGGAAACCTGCACAAGGAGATAGGCAGGTACACGGCATGCCTTGTGCAGGCCGTATCGGCGTTCAAGAAGTCGAAGAAGGGCCCAATGCCAGCCCCACCTCCTACTATGGATAAGGCGGTCGGCACGTCCCCGTTGTTTTCGGTCAGTGAAACTAGCAAACGGCGTGCAATGTCACCGCCGGAGACTGTAGCAACTCCGAAGCGCCGTGCCGCGACAGCTGCATCCAGGCAGCTAGACGAGAACAACAACGACGCCGCAGATCAGGACGGCTTTGTTCTCGCTGACTATCGTCGTCATCGCCGCCGCAATGAGCCGGTAACAACAGCTGGACCTGCGCACCTCCGGCAAGAGCCGAAGCCACGGCCAACACAGCGAAGAGTCCACCATCGTCCGGACGCAATCGTGACCAAGGCGAAAGATGCTAATTCTTACGCAGATATTCTGCGTACGCTCAAGTCAGACACGACCTTGCAGCAATCTGTCGGAAGCAGCGTCCAAAATATCAGACGCAGCGCTGCGGGTGCCCTGGTGCTGCAACTCAAGAAGAACGTGGAAAATGCCCCCACCCTCGGCGCGGAATTGGACAAAGTCCTCGGTGACACGGCCACTGCCAGCGCCCTACAGCATACTACTGTGATCGAGATCAGGGATCTCGATGAGTGTACCAACGAGCATGAGATCGCCGAAGCACTGAGAACATCGCTGAGTGCCCCGCACATCAACAAGGATGCAGTCAAAACGCTGCGAAAAGCGTACGCAGGAACGCAGGTGGCTGTCGCCGCGCTCCCAGATGACCTAGCCGCCAGGGCTCTGAAACTCGGTCACATACGGATTGGCTGGGTCAACTGCCGCATCCGTGTTCGCGAAGATACCCTGCGCTGCTATCGCTGCTGGAGCCCCGGCCACATCTCGGCTCGCTGTAAGGGACCTGATCGCTCGGCGCACTGTTTCCGCTGCGGACAAACAGGCCATCGGAGAAAGGACTGCAAAAACAATCCAACGTGCGTCTTTTGCCAGGAGCGAGGCACTGCCCACGACCACGCGTCCACGGGCCAGCAGTGCCCACTCGCACAGAAGACAAACCAAGCCCGCCGATAATGAGGATCTTGCAGCTAAATCTCAACCACTGCAAGGCTGCTCAGGATCTCCTGAGTCAAACCATTCTCGAAGAGCGCATCAACGTAGCCGTAGTGAGCGATCAGTACAAGAACCTTGATCCGCCTTACACATGGCTAGCTGATGCCAACAGCCAAGCCGCGATCTGGGTGCAGGGAGGAAGCATGGTGCAGGAGCGCCCAGCAAGAGCGCGTCCCTTTTTCACCTGGGCCCGTATCAACGGAATCTACCTTTTCAGTGTCTACGCTCCACCAAGACTCGCTAAAGTAGAATTTTCCGCCCTCCTCAACGACATCATAGAAGAAGCCTGGAATAGGAGGCCGCTCATCGTCGCGGGCGATTTCAACGCCTGGGCAACGGAGTGGGGATGTCGAATGACGAGACAGCGTGGCACCATCCTCCTGGACGCGCTCGCCACCCTCGAAGCTGCACTGCTAAACACCAGTGACACACCAACATTCGCCGGTGCATTGGGCTACTCGGTCATCGATCTCACCTTCGCCAGCGACACATTCGCTCCCCGAATTTCATCATGGGTGGTAAGCGAATTGTACACACATAGCGACCATCAAGCCATTGTGTTTGAGATTGCGAACACCAGACCGCCAAGACCCACGACTCGCCAGAGATGCAAGTGGAACGCGCGCACCATTGACGCGGAGTGCTTCTCGGTCATGATAGAAAGTGCTGCGGTTCCACCCGGGCCTGCAGAAGAGATGACAACGAGGCTCATGGCCGACGTCACCGGTGCGTGCGACGTGTCTATGGCCAGGTCGAGCGGACGACGCCGTCGTTGCGCGGTGTACTGGTGGACCAACGAGATTGTCGACCTCCGGCGCTCATGCCTGCGAGCGCGAAGGCTCGCCCAAAGAGCTCGCGGTCGGCCAAATGAGGTCGCCTGCCAGGCGAGCTATGCCTCTGCAAGACGTCTCCTGCGCGCTGCCATCAAGACCAGTAAGCGTCTATGCTGGAGCAAACTATGCGACGAGGTCAACGAGGACGTGTGGGGCAAACCGTACGAGACTGTCATGTCCCGTCTCAGAGGTCCGGTGGAACATTTCGGCTCGGTGGAACAACATCAACGCCGCACTACGCCGAATGCGTACGCCCGAGTACCTGCTGAGAATAGTCGGCAGCTATCTCTCGGCGCGAGAGCTTGACTACGACACGGACGACGGGCCAGAGTCCTACACAGTCTCTGCAGGCGTACCACAAGGATCTGTCCTGGGGCCCATCCTGTGGAACGTCATGTAAGACGCCATCCTGCGTCTCAACTTCGGAGGCAATGTAAAGATTGTCGGCTTCGCGGACGATATCGCCTTAGTGGCCGTGGCCAAGCACCTGTGGCAGATCGAATACGATCTGAGCTCTGCCATCGAGCAGGTGCGATGCGCGCTCCAAGAGCTCGGCCTGGTTACGGCGGACCATAAGACGGAGGTCCTTCTCATCACCAGCAGGAAGAAAATGGAGACCATAACCATCACAGTAGGTGACTGCAGCATAAGCTCGTCCCCGTGTATCCGCTACTTGGGCGTACACATTGACGCCAGGCTGAGGTTCGACCAACATCTTCGAATCGTTAGCGAAAAGGCAGCAAGAGTGGCTGGAGCCCTCGCGAAGATCATGCCCAACACCGGTGGACCTAGAAGTAGTCGACGAGAGCTCTACGCTCACGTCATCGATTCGATCCTTCTGTATGGAGCGCCTATCTGGAGATGCGCGACGGAGACGCAG